TTGGCGATTTATGCTCTATTTTAATTTTATTTGTCAATTTGATTGCGTGTATTGTGAATTTCGATTTGGAAGAAAAAAATATTTTTTAAAATTGAATTTTTTTTTTTTTTACATTTTTTTTTAAATGGAAAATTATTAAGTTAAACCCATTAACTTCAAATGTTTCTTCCTTTTAGAAAAATAAGCTATAGTATATAACTTGGTGGTGCAATTAATTTTTACCTATTTCTTAAATTCTCATGTAAAATTTTTAATGTAAAAAATTTTCAAACTGCATAGTCTATTTTGGAATTTACTTAAGCTGAAAATAAATTTATAAATAAACACTTAAATCAAAAATATAAAACGTTTAAAAATTATTTTGTAATTTGAATCGTAATACTATCGCACCTTATTATTATTGAAACTGTAGTATTTTAAAACAAAATGCTATTTTCCGATTAAATCCAGATCAAATTCTATCTTTGATTCTTTTTCTGCTTTCGATTGTTTCAAACAACAATAAGCCCTGATTTACAAATGTTCACAGCGATAGGCAGTACTCATTGTAAGTAAATTTGATCCGAACATTGTTTAATCCATCGTAACACTCCTTGTCTTCTAAGTAGGGTTCACCATCCTGAATGCTAACAGAAAGCATCTTAAATACATTTTAGTGTTTTACAGCTCCTATACTGTTTATAACAAAATAAAAAATTTCCTGTTTTGGTACAAATAGAAAAGGAAATTTTTGCATGGTACATAAAACTTAAATTAGTATTTTAGCAACTGCGAAATTGCTTTTTATAAATTATTATTTAATTAAGTATTTTATTTTTTTAATTAATTAAATTTTTATTATTAATTTTTAATTAATTTTTTTTTTTAATTTTTAGGAGTAGAAATAAATTAAAAGACTTGTGTTACAAAAAAAAAATTCTAGATCTGAATCTGTAGGAACGCTCTATAAAAATGTAATCTAAAAACTTAAAAAGAAGAAAATACGAGCATTACATAAGACAATCTGTCATTACGTTACGAATATTATATAATCTGTACATTATTACGAACATCATATCAGACAATCTGGCGTTTGTGATACCTTCTAACACCGTAATTGTTTTTGTGAAATTATGTATTCAAAAACTGAAGTAAAAAACAAACATTCTATGGAAATGTAATATTCTCATTTATAAGAATACCCGCCACTTTCAAATTCTTATACAAATAAATCTTTTAAAATAACTAACGAAGAACTGGATAAACCAGCTAATTAAAATTACTAAACAATTCAACAGAAAGCAGTAGCGTATGAACTATACCGTCTAACACCGTTATTCGCAATACAAAGTGAAATTTCGATTATTCTAAAAAAGAACTATCAATTCCTATTTCCTTAATCGATCTGTCTAAAAGAGATTTGGGGGCTGGAGAGGCAGGTTCGGGCCATTTGATTTATTAACTTCGAAAGACCTCGCCTCCCACACCTAAGATTGAAAAGTTTCCCGTATTTCTAACTGTAACTTTTAACCGGAAAAAGTATTTTAATGGAGGGTTAATCCATGGAATGAAAAGCAAGAATGAAAAGAAGCAGCAACAACCCTCCTTAAATGAATTAGGAAAATCCGTCTCTTTCTCTACGTAGAAACTCATCAAGCTGCAAATCGCAGTAACTTCGAAAAGAATCAGCTGCAACGGTATAAATTAAAAGCGAAAACCAGTTTAAAGAATGCTTAAAATTACATTTCTCCCAATTTCATTAATCATCGCGACTGAAAGAAGAAGGCCCGCATGCCACTGACTTCTATTCAAAAATAGGGTTGCCATTTGGCGATGCACATCGCTTTCAGAAATTAATTTTCATTGTTTCAATTTTTGATAAAACTAACTTCTTAGTTTAAAAATTTGACCCTGAACGACCTTTATCCAGAACTTTTTCTTTTTTGGAGGTTTAAGGTTCATTTATTTGATCTAATCTTATAATTATTGGGAACTTACTAGTTCCTCAAACCTTGTCGTGTATCACTAAATCTTTATTAAAATTTGAAAGTACAGTACAGAACCCGTTATCCGGAAATCAGAAAACCGGAAAACCAAAAAACCGGAACAAAATTCGATAAATTTTCTCGCCATTTTTAAAAGAAAAAAAATTTTTTCCTCGTAAGATTTTACGATTTTTCTTTCTTTTTTTAAAGATGTTTACCTTACCATCATTTTGGAAATAATCATTAGTGTATTACTTCATCGTTTTTTCTTATTTTTAAGATTATTTCCAAATTTTTTTTTGTTTTTAGTTGGGTTTAGCAATAAAAAAAAACGGCTTTTTGTAGCGATGTTATCCGGAATAGCGATGGTCCCGACCATTCCGGATAATCGGTTCCCTACTGTAATTGTAATTTTGCGAGATTTTAACACATCGAAACAACTGAACATTATTGGTAATATCACATTATATCAATTATAGCAAGTAAATGTAATAGCTATTTATGGATTCACTTTCAAATTTGAAAGTTTCAAAATACTTACATTTTAAAAATGAATTGAGTTTTGATTGGCTTAGCAGAAAAAAGAAATTGAGATATTTCGTGTTTTATTTATATTAGGAACTTGATTGTTATGGTTAATAGCTGTCTATTCTAATATATTGATGGAGTTAGCATGCATAATTAATGACTTTTCCTAATAAAATTAACAGTGGTAGTTTAATTAAAAAGTTAATTTATCAATTTCAATAAATCTGACTCAAATGATTAAATGAAGTTAGAAAAAATATTTATTACAATAAATAATGCAATTCTTGAATTTAAGCAAAATTATTTTTTATTCTGATTACATGTAAAATTGGTATTGTAATATTATACAAACAAAATACAGTGCTTTACGTGATTTGTAGGCTAAATTAGGAATAAATAGATAATTTGGACTAAATATAGTTTAATATTTTATCATTATTTTGTGTACGTACTACATGTACTGCTTTGTTTTCTTTAAGCAGAATTTCCACCATTGAAATGATTTCGTATACAATAGTCAAGGCATGTGTTGATGAAAAGTTTCTTTTCGTTGTATTTTCTGCTTTTTTCATAATATTTTTTTGTGTGATCTAAAAAAGAGCAAGATTAATAAAATCATTCTTTTAGCTTACGTTTGTAATTAAATCAAAGCTATGTTTTTTGTTTCTTTATAGTTTAGTATTTGAAGCTAATAAGTTCTTTTCGGATTTTTCTTTCCTCAAAATTTTTGAATAATTGTACATTATATTTTTATCATGTCCAATACATTTCTGATCTAGATATATACTGGTTTAGTAGAAATATACACTGAACAAATCTCAACCCTAATCTAGAAACTGGTATTAAACCAGTTACACACTGTGTGTGAAATAACATTTGTTATCTTGAAAATTTCCGTGATAAAATATGGGCCATAAAAATGTTTTCACAAATTCGAACCACGACAATTTTTTTTTAATTTAAAAAAAAAAATATTTATAGTTGTAAAATATTTTTGATGTTAAAGAAAAATAAGAAGAAAAATAAGCTAAATAAAGAGAAAGTTACATTTTTCATAATTATAAAGTGAAAGCTAAAATGAGAAAATTACCATTCGCATTCTTTTCTGAGAAGACCAAGGAGTGATTTTTAAACTAAACAAACCTAAAATTATCATCACACATGATTAAATTCTCTTTTCTTTGATTGTATTCTTATCTAATTTACTTTTATTAAAATATATATAACCACCCAAATTTTTTTTACATCCCAACTCAGACTACTTTTTTTTCTTCTATTCGCCAAATTTCTTCGCCAAACCATCTTATGCGCAACAAAATTCAAAATCGTTTAAGAAAACCAAGATCGGCTTGGCGAGGCTAATGCCATTTCATTAGTTTCGCATGCAAATTACTGCATGGAAACAGCATAAATAAATGGACCCTCCGTCTGTAGCCATTACTTTGCCGTTAATTTGCCCTCATTTGTCTCAACCCCCGTGTCAGCCGCAGAAGTAAAAGGGGTGAGGGTAAACTCACATTAAAAGTCGGATTTCAAATATCCGATTCGCTTTTTCTTGTAATTGTCTTGGAAGAATCGGGAGGGGAGAATAGGGAATTAAAACACTTGTCTTCCAATTGTAGGGAATTCGAAACCCTAATAATTTGTTTTCTGTATTTGACTGCTCCCTTTTTCTTTTCTTACAATTTATTTAACTGAGAGTATTTAACAACAGTTTCCGATGTACTGTATTATTTTTCCTTACTATTTGAAAATATTAATGCTTCTTTGCAACAATGCAAGATGCATTGTTTTAGTTTTTCCTTCCCATTTGTATTATTAAATCTTTTGAAGAAAATGTTATTATTTCTTTATAGCGATACCTGATGTAATGTGTTGTTCTTCCTTACCATTTGAAAATATTGATAATTCTTTACAACAATTCCAAATGTATTCCAAATGTTTTACTTACCATTTTAAAATATTAATATTTTTCTTTAACAATTCCAGATGCATTATTATTTTTTTTTGTTGATATAAAAATGGTACTATTTTGTAACAATTCATGACGTATTATAATATTAATACATCAATGAATTATTATATTTTTCCTAAACAAATGTGTTTTACTATTAGAAAAAAAGTTCTTGCGTTTCATTTAATTCTTAAACAGCTATTTTCATTAAAAAAAAAGTTCTCAACTTTTTGTAAAACCATTGAAGTTTTATAAAAACAAGTTTACGTTTTTAAAGTATTCGATGTAAAGCTACAGAATCTTTAAAAAAAGTTTTGCTATGTTATAGCCTTAAAAACAACACTTTTTAATTCATGGTGTTGTCTATGAAAATTTTTATAAGCAATGATAAACAAAAATTCAAAAATTCCAAGCACCAGAAGCATTTTTTTTTAGTAGTTTATTACTGAGTAAATAAACAATAACTAAAGAATACTAAAAATTAGGTGATAAAATTCATTTTTAGTGTGATGAATATATTTTATTTGTTTACATAGATTTCTTCTACATTTCAGGTTACGAGACGACAGGGGAGATATTGTTGATTCCAAAGATAGACTCTATGGTTATGACAACCATAGAATGAAAGATCAAGCATTTCTAAACGGTAAACAAAATTTTAAACCATATAATTTGATTTAGTGAAATTATCAATTTCATCAAATCAAATAAATCATTCACTTTCCATATAGAGAGAAATACTTTCAACCACTGTTCATAATATCACATAAATCGTTTTCAGTTGCACAAACATAATATCGGATATCTAATTAAAACTCAATTTTAAATCTGTGTGCAATTTTCATAGTAAAATTTGCTCAAATACCACGGGACTTAAGTTGTAATTTTAAAATTGTAAATTTAATGTTGTTGATGCGGAATACTGAGCAGCGGTTTTTGTTAAAAAAAAAATTAAAAAAAAAAAAAGAAAAAAATTGGACATTTTTACAGCCAACTCTATATGAGTCAAATTCAATGGGCAAGTGAGAAAATTCCAGAAGAACAAGTGACGTATTCGAGGCATGCAATAAGTTTAACCCATGAAAATTATGTTAAAATGGCATTGTATCCCTAGCAGTAAAATAACTTGGGCCCTCATTGGGCTAATATTCATAAATCTAGGCTCAGTAAGAGTTTAAAAGGCCTTTATTTTTTCGATATTGGCCCTGTATAGAATTTTCCGATTACCTTGATACTTAACACCCACTTTACAACCAATACCTGTCCTATATAGAAATGTTAGATTCACCCGATATTTTATATCCATTATTTAGCCAATATAGGTTCTATATTTGCCAATGTAGGCCCCATATAGACCATTCTAAGATCAATATTAAAAAATCTAGATGTCCCAATATTGGTCCCTCTTTGCGGGCCCATATCGAGTCAATTTTGAACCCAACTGGGACCAAGGTAAAATTGTTGCTAGAGATGCTGAAGGAAAAAAATTACCTTGTATCAAATCTGTTGTTAGTGCTCTTACATTTTCAGGTTACTAATGAAGCTTATGATCAAGCGAATAAAATATCGTTTGACGGAAAGTTTCGTCATTTTAAGGTCACTTTTCACTGTAGACGTCACTCGGCGAAAGAAATTATTGTTTCTTTTCTTCCTTTCATAAGACAAATTAAATAGTTAAGACTATTATTATTGCTTTTTATTTGCCTAAAATGCTTTTAGCTTTTTCCTAAATGCATACAAAACTGTGGTTATAAAGAAGAATTACATAAAGAGCCAGTTTTATCTTAAAAACACGCAGTTTTCATTAGTTCTTTTTTATTTTGCTTCTCTGTGCACCTTCGACTGCTGAGCTTTCTTCCTTGCTGAGCTTTCCTTAATTTCAGCAACAAAAAACTTCTTCATAACTACTGCTTTTTTTTTCTTTTTTAGTCTTTAAAACCGAAATGACTTTTAAGCATGAAAGTATTTGGTACAAAAAAAACTATCAATCTGAAAATGCAAAATTAATTTACTACTTAGGCAAAAATTATATTCAAGATGAGAGTCAAATAATAAAGGCTGTGAATAAATTATTTTACGCTTTTATCACAAGTCTAATGCGTACTCTATGAAGCGATATTTATTTACAACATTTCAACATGTGGCAAACATTTTTGTAAAAAAGCATGAAACGAGAGGCTTAACAGATAGAAGGCATGATTATTCTCAAAGAAGGAGTAGATTTTAAATTTATTTTATTCAAAATAATTACTTAAATCAAATAAATTACACTAAAACTCCTTTTTTTTTATGATGAAAACTCGAATCTCTACCTTTGCTTTTATGCTAAAACTTTTTCAATCGCTTATCATCAAAATTATTAATGTACTTTTTCATTTATAAATATTGAGCGAAATAGCAGTATTGTTTAAGATTTTTGAATTACTGCTTAAAAAATTTCGACTTAACGTTTGTGAAATTTTGCTGATTATTGTAAATTACAGATTTCAAAATACATTTCCAAAAAATGAAATATTTTTATTTCAGAGTACCGAATTTTAACCCTTTATGGTCCTATTAAATTCATACATAGTCGTCATACTTATAGGCATTAATTTTTGTGGGGCGAACATTATATGCTTTATAATGACGAGGAAAAAATGTTTTTAAGGACACTACCTATTACACTTACATCCAACTTGTAAATTATTATATTAAATTTTATAAGGGCAAAAACCTATCGACTTAATTGCATAAAATTGTTCATTAAAAGATAATCAGTAGGACTATTTGATGTGGTGATTTAAAGTAGATATTCTACCGGAACAGTAAAAAAGCTTATTTAGCTGAGGACAGATGAGCGACTGGAGCAGTAAAAAAGCTTATTTAGCTGAGGACAGATGGGCGACTGGAACAGAAAAAAAGCTTATTTAGCTGAGGACAGATGGGCGACTGGAACAGAAAAAAGCCTATTTTGCTGAGGACAGATGAGCGACTGGAACAGTAAAAAAGCTTATTTAGCTGAGGACAGATGAGCGATTGTAACAGTAAAAAAACTTAGGTGGCTGAGGACAGATGTACGAATGAAACAGTAAAAAAGCACAGTTAGCTGAGGACAAATGTATGACTGAATCCTTCAAAAATCTTCAGTCGCTAAGACTTGACACTTGACCACAAAGGGTTAATAAATTAAGTTGAATAAAAGCATTTGTTTATTTACTAAAATTATTATTTTAAAGATTTTTTTGCATTAAATCAAACTGCAAAGTTTAATAAACAAATCGGATGAGTCTGCTTCAAATATGATTGAAATAAATAAGCAATAAATCGAGTCGAATTACTGTCCACATTTTCGAAAAATATACCAGTCTTCTGGTTCTGTCAAGCCTCTCTGCCAATCAGCAGTCGTTAGGTGAGCAGAGACGTAATCTAACCTTTCGATTTTATTTTCTTCTTCCCCTTTTGTGCATTTAGGCTACTTCTGGCTTCTTGCAGGGGCACAGGCTAATGGCCACAGTCCCGTCCTCAACCTGAGTCAACATTCGAGCAGACCATCTAATAGTAGCAACAATAACCCCATCACAAATGGTCCAGGCAGTGGAGGTGGTGGCACTGGTGGCGAACATAGTGGAAGTGAAAACGATGGACCAGATGATGACAATGACAGCGTTGACTGTGACGACGATGACAGTGAGAGAGGTACGAGATGATTTATTCTAAGACAGAAACTGTACAAAAATTTACTAATTTTGTACTGCACCTGGTACTATTTCATTATAAATTATACAGTGAGATATTACCACACTTGTTTGCATACATTTAGAAATGTAAATTCCTACCCTATTTATACGACTGCAGTTCCCAACAGCCTATAAAAAACAATGGTCAAACAAAGTTAAAAAAAGAATAGATTAAGCCCCGCAATTAAATAAACATTCACATAAAAACTTTAAAATGTGTGTTTACGTCGTGATTTTAAACATCGAGGTTACTACAATACAAAAGTACCATACTCTGAAAATCGCGTTATATTTAAAAAGTATTATGAGACTTAAGATAACAGCATTTGATCTTCAAAATACAATTATCTTACCATTGTTATATCTGCAACCTAATAGGTTCTCAGCCATCCTTCATTTTACTTTTTCATGCTGTTTGTGCTCTGATTCAATCCAAAGTTAAAAGACCATTCTCTAGAAAAGCATAGGTTCATTTGAACACACCTTTTTGACATGATTCTCAGCCAAGAGCTATACATATTTAGAACTTTTAAGATAATTTCAAATGTCCATTCTGGTATTAATTTTATAAAGAAAAAGTACCGTATTTTTTTATGGGATTAACCTGATAGTTCACGTATGTTACGATATGTAAGAGATTTATTTTTGCAGATGTTAGTGACAATCCTGATGTAAGTAGTACAGCAAATACAGACAGACTTACATCGAGTCAACAGCAACTAGGTTACCCTGCCATGGGTGGAGACCTAAGCCTCCTACAAGCCCAGGCTGCCTCCTCAATGGAAACTCTCCTCAGGTACATACAAGGCCTTCTAAAAGTTGCCGCAGACAATGCAAAGCAACAAGAAAGACAGATCAGTTTAGAAAAAGGTACTCTTTTTACTTTTTTCCATCTCGCCTATTTTACATTATTGTCTGTTTCTGATGCAGCTATTACTAGTGTGAAAAGTATTTGTTCATCTTTGACCCTGACTGAATTTTATTTCTGCAGTAATTCTATAAATTAAATACTGTTCGATACAGAATTATCTCCACTCGAGGTTTTGACATTATTCAATTAAAACAGTCAAGCTGACAAACCAAAAGTTTGTAGATATTTATTTCCTGATTTTATTCTCCAGTACTTTTTGTATATTCCAACCACAAATAAAACATGCAAATTTTCTCAAAACAGATCACTCAAAGCTGCTGAGTAAAATTTAAATAGGACTTTTCTCTGCTATATAATGCCTCTCAGTCATCCGTAGATCGATGCGATAAGAACAAGGATGATCAATGACACTCAATGAGAAAACTGTCCCATAAAAATTAACAGAAAACACTACCTTTTGACTCGATAGAGTCCACTACTTCTCTATCTAACAATCTGTCACAGAGTTATCGATTAAATACCGGCTCTAAATGATGAATTGAGCTTAAGTAGGCACCTAGACCCTGGCGTCGTACGTTAAAACGGCCTGCGGGGATCCTTAGATTCGACAACTCGACATCTATGAAGCTCGTCAAAGTGTCTTCATCGACACGTTGGACAAAGAAACAGCTTTTGGTCATCTGTATGATCGGGATTATGTCCTCACCGTGGACTTATGAGTTGTCCAAGAGGAGTTCAACAAAAGCTTTGAAATGAACTCCATTCCCTGAGGGGAGAGGAGGAGTCGGGTTTGGAAAATTATTGAAGAATAATGGATTATTGGAAGATCAATTTACTCCCCTTAACTCCCCCCAAATGATCGTTGAAGAAAGTGATCGGTCAGATATGCTGGAAACATATGTTGGATCACCACAGTTATCAGTAAACATTAATAAAAATGTTGAGTTTTTGATAGCATTTTAAAAGTGCCTTTGATACGTTTTGTTTTATTCATGCATATCTGCCTTGCTCTTTCTGAATTTATTTACATATTTAATATTGCTTCGCAGCGACCCATTTTTTAAAAAGGATGAATTTATATAATTATTTCAATTGTTGTTGAAATATAAATGATATAATTAGATTAGTTTGCGCTGACTGCATTTTACAAAGTAAAAAGAATTAATCATTAATCGATTTTCTTAAGTTTGGTGAGAATTAAGCTAGTTTACACGCTGTTTGATCGTACCGTTTCAGCTATCATTTAGTAATCTGAAATCCAATTAAAGACCATAAGATAATTTTTTGCTATGGTCAGCCTGGCTTAAAAACATAGTCTATATGGTAGAAATCTAGATTTGAAGATCGTAGCTCGTTGTAAATCTTAAACTGTTAAGATTGTTTTATTGATATATGAGTTGGTATTTCTTCCTAATGTCTCATTCTCATATATCTTGTTCTAATAGCCATGTGTAGGACAGGGCGGTAAATTGATGCATCGGAAAATATCGATTCTATGCAATCACCGCCAATTGGCAATTTTTCGAAACATCGGAAATTGCGATTTACTGAGATGTGTACGATATTTCTCGATGTATCATTGATAGCGATGTCTATATATGCGATGTTGAGCATTGTTCCCGATAGTACATCGATGTCTACAAGCTCGAGCGAAGAACATTTTCGTCTGCAGTGATAGCTGTGGCGTTGATCGTTATCTTTCCCCGTCTTTTTTACATCGTGATTCATCGTTTTGCTGACATGATGAATACGAATGTGATTGAGAACCGAAGTGTTGTTGAATCTCTTTATTATGGAAGGGTTTTCGTTAAATTGCGTGTGCGCAAATATTGTTGATTTTTTTTTAACAATCAATCTCTCCGTTAAACGTTTTTTAACCACTATTTTGCAGACATTCACGTCTTTATATATTGAGAAATAATTATAAAAAAATGCAGCATTTATTTTCTTTTAAAAGATGCAATGTCTTTTTTAATGAAACGTTTATTTTTTTTTAAAATTTTTTTTTGAAAAAGGCAGCTGGCTAATTGCGAATTAACGCTGTGCTAATTTTAAAACATTAATGTACCAAAACATCGTGATGCATCAAAATATCGCGATGCTGACATCCACGTCTTTAAATACTGAGAAATAATTGTAAAAAAATGCAACGTGACGATACATCGCGATGCCAAAATCTTAACATCGCTCAGTCCTAGCCACGAGTAACTGTTGCAAACTCACAGCAGTTATGGAAATAGCATATTATTCGCAAAAAAGCATATTTTCATAAGACGACGAAGCCTTCGAAAAATAACCTTAATATCGTTGACTGGGAGACGTGAGAAAAAAAAATTGAATTGACAACACGTCAATATTCTGATTACAGAAAAGCAATTTATTCTTATTCCCCGTTGTAGAATAAAAATCGGCATTAGATTCATCAGGCCGAAAAAACAACTCATCCTTTTGGGATTATTCTTAAGTCGGTGCTTATGAGCGGAACATGGAGCCGACATCTTTCCAGAACAGCATAAATATTCTTTTAGTGCTTACACAATCGTGATAAACAGGGCCTTTAGCACACTGTGCTGAGAGAGGAAGAAGAAGCCAGTCTCAACTGATAAGCGCTCAGCTCCAGTCTTTTTCCAAACAAAACTTTACTCACCAATCGCTTTTTATGTTTTTATTTTTCCCTTCCAGAAGCTGTTTTAATGGTACTTAAAAGCAGATCGCCGCCCTGTCCGCCAACCCCCCACCCAAGTGGCTCTAACTCGATAACTTTTCTCTCTTCTTGAATATTCTCGAAATGGTTTTTCCACTAAATCTTCTTCGTTTCAATATGTCTTATCGGAAAAGCTTCCATCCTATAAGACTTTTTTTTTTTCTTTTTCCATTTCACCCTTTCCCAATGGAATTCGGGAAAAGGAATATTCGAAAAGAAAATTTGGCCCTGCCTTCTTCTCCGTTCATCATTTTTCAGTATTACAAATTCACTTTTGATTGGGCTGACTCGTTCGAATACTCATTAGAGAAAGGATGATCCCTACGAGAAATGCAATATTGAGTTTAACTCTTTCAACTCGCTTAACGCATTCAAAATTGTCAGAATAAAGAATGCGACGTCAATAAATATTACTGATACTTGGTAATTGAAGGAGGAGGAGTAAAATTTTTCTTCGAGTATTTTTTTTTTTTAAATATTTTTTGTAAATGCTACGTTTTAAGGGATAAAAAATTTAATTTATGATTTTGATCTGAATACGTTAAAATAAACACCCACTAAAAATTCTTTTAGTTATTAGAGAAAAGGCTCTAAATCGAGATAATTAAAAGCATGATTTATCATTAAACTTTACAGTTAAAACTACTATAACTATAAATTGAACAAATTCTGAAAATTTTAAAATGATTCAATTAATTTTTGCATTTTGTCTAAATTTTAAATTTACCAATACCAATAGGCCTATACCCATAATATACCTATATCACCTATACCTATTATCGTTTTACTAATTGAGAAACATAAGAACTCTACATATATTGTTCCTTTTTATTGTTTTTATTAGCTGAATACTCGTTCTTCGTACAGAGTAAAAAAAAAAGTAAATAATCAATTAATCACTATTAATCAATACTGCGAAACCATGCACAAAACTGAGAGATATAAACCAACAAAATTATTCAACCTAAAACAATTTCAAGTTATTTTTTATTTTATTATTAATTGCTATCTATTGCCCTTTCCGGCAGCTTTATGTTATCAAATTAGGCAAAACATGCTCTTATAAGTTGATCCCATCCAAATAAAATCAATTGTATTCTATATCATTTGGCATAATACAGGTACAAGGTCAACTCATGATAATCAAAAATTATCATAATCAACAATTGTCTCCGGTAGTTATCCCTTTCGGTGGGCCTTCAAAACCTATGCCCACAACACCTGTAGTAGGTACCTATGTACCAATATTAGTATATTTAGTAGCTATTAAAAACACCAATTAACATGATATCATTAGTAAAAATCATAAAATTAATTTAGCTTCATTAGTGCCAATCATAAAAAAGTGATTTCTTATGGTTTTCTTAGATAAATAATGCCTATTAATTTAACTTCGGAGTGTAAAACTTATTTTTTTACATCAATTTGTATTTAATGCCAAATTAATCATTCATCCTTTATATCAAAAACAATATGACAATTTTTTACGGTTCTCATATACGAATAAGTAACCTTTTTCTATTATTTTAGTTTTTTAATAAAAAGTTTATTTTTATTTCCGTTTGTATCGATTAGCAAAATATATTAGTTGTAATTCTCAAAACTAATTATTAACTCCACTAATACTTTTCTGATCATTTTTGGTGAAAGAACTAATAGCGGTACTTATTCTTAAGGCGGTAAAAAATGGTCGAACTATTATTGACGACAGTGATGCTTAATTAAACGTAGTATCAAATACTACTGGTATAGTCTTCATAAGTACTAGACTGAAAACCTATTATACCAATATAGCTGAATATACTGTGGTAATTAGGTTTTTACCAAGCTCCGAAACGGATAACTATACTACACATTCACACACATGCTAATACACAACCTTTATGCTTATATTATTTTTTGTATTTTTCTGTACTACTTCATACAATTAGATTTACCATAATATAATTTAGAAGTTTACTCACCAAAGGAAAGATTGACTATATAGTATCATTTAAAATGTTATATTTAGAAATTGGCATAATTTTTCCATGGCTTAATATATATATTTACAAATTTATTTTAATAGTTCTTGTTGAGTTTTTATTATTTATTGCTATAAAAACTAGTTTTAATTAACGCATAAATATTAATTTAAGATTCACGTGTTTTCATATAACTTTTAAAATATGAATTCAGTGATGTCATTATTATGCATGACGAAATTATTAGCGTTTATTTTACTTGTTGGAACACGTTACAACTATAACTTTACTTGTTACAACATGTTACAACTATAACTTTACTTGTTATAAC